GAAGGTTCTTTACCAGCTAAGCCAATAGGGAAGCCCATCTTTACAGTAAAATATACCATACTAGTGAAAGTTGAGAATAATCAAAATATCCATTCAAAAATAAAATATTATAAGGGAACTATAATTTTTAATTCAAGGTTGTTTAATAAACTTGAAATAGACTATAAATGTTAAGCAACTTTCCTATAGTTAAGAGTTAGAAATTGTCTTAATGTAAAGAGCAATAATAAAATATTTCTAGATAGGCATTTAAAATTTAATTTATAAAGTAGCTATATAGTATTCCTCTTTTATTTTTCTTTTATTTAGTTAGATATTTATATTCTATTCATATTTTTAAATTTAATTTTATGTTTTGTTTTATTATATATTATAAGCATAATACATGTATGACATTATTATGCATCATTGTACTTTAGTCCTTAAGTATGTAAGGACTGTGACTACCTGAAATCAAATGTTTATAGACACACAATTGAAATTTTCATTAATCAATGGGATTATTTCTATTGTAACAATTTTATTAAAAAGTATAGCAAAAACTACTACAATATTCTAAAGTAATTAGCCTCCAACTAATAAAAATAAATGGAAAAAAAATGAAGGAAAAAAAGAAAACTACTCATTCATTTAAATAATATATTTGCCAATTGCAGAAGATTGAGACTGCAGAATAAATCCAATATTTATAAAGATTCAATTTCAGATTAAATATTTTTTTTTCAAGTTGATTGTGGATGTATTGAGTGGTGACGTAAAGAATGGGGAGATGGCACCCCTCTATGAAGCCTTAGAAATGAGAAGTAGGAGAACCATCTGTTTTGGAGAAGATTGCATTTTACCCGTCATTTAAATGTTTGTAAGCACTGCAAAACTTTCTCAAAGGATGTCTGTGCTCCTCACAGTATATGTCATTTATTAAGCAATCAAATATAACTATTCATAAAAGAGTGTGTGGATATGTACAATTTTGAATTTTTTTTCTTAACAAGACCTCAAAATGAAGCATTGTTGAAAGAATAGCAAAATGCAAAAGGAAGAAATGTTTGATTGTCTATTATTTAATGGACCCCAAAGAGAGGTTACCAATTTGAATACTCTCTTTCATCATGGCAGCAGAATTTTTAGTAAATAAATAAGATAAAATTTTCTGTGAATCTTATAGGCTAATTAATGTTAACCTTAATTAATCTAATTAATGTTCATTTTACAGTTTGCCTGCCAATCTCAAGCAAAGTTGCTTCTTTAAATATAAAAATAGCAGCAAATATATCTGTGATTGAGATGAAGCTGATTATTTACTCATGCTAATCAAAATAATTTTCTTTCAGAATGAAAGTACATCTTTTTTATAGTAAGTGATATTTCTATTAATGTTGTCTGTAGAACATCAAACCTCTGAAGGAAATGTCTCAAAATCCAATTGTTTGGCTTCTTATAGAATAAAATATGGACGTGACTGATTAAACTGTTCAACATTCGTTTAAATATTTCACCATTACCTGGGTCTTCCCTGATGACTCAGTGGTAAAGAACTCAATCACTCTTAAGTTACTGAGAGTGGTATCCCACTGCATATGTTGTCTTTAAGTGGAGTTTGAATTTTTTTGTCTCCAAAATATTTATATTTTCCAAAATTATTCCAACATGACATTATTATATTTTACTTGCTAATGTACAGTGTATACACTGTGTATTTAAGCAATATTCTTAAGCAGTCTTTTTTTTTTTCAATAGTGCACCGTACTTAATAATACTAAACATACATATGTTCTTCTTGATCATTTTATAATACTTTACCATTTTACTTTTTAGTCACCCATTTTTTTTTAGTATCTTTGATTACACACACTTCATTATTTAATTTACTTAACCATTTCATTCACTTACCAAGTACAGTTCTTTTTGTAAAATATTTTCTAGGTATGAGAATAGTTGATGACATACCATCTTGTTATCTCAAAAAGTCTAGGATCGTCCAAATGAAGAGAACCCTTAAAAGGACAATAGAGGCAGTGTCTGAGTAATTGTATAGCTTGGGCTTCACAGGCTCATGGTGAATTTAATGAGTTCCTTGTGCTCATATCAACAATAAGAAAATTGAGCCATTGTGTATTTCCATAGGGGTTCATCTGTTTGGTCTGAAAAGCAGTTTAACAATGTTTAACACAGACTGTGACTTACATCTTAATCATATTTTTCATAGTCTTATCTATCTTAGCTACAAATAATAGAATTTGTTGTCTAAACCGACTAAACCCGTTAAAGAGTAGGCCTTTTTAACATGTAAATTTATTTTTTATTGTTGGTTCCTCTTTATTTTTTAATTTTATTTTGAATAAAAATGGTACAAAGTTAGATATTAGTAATGACATGTTGAGTGCTTTAAAAGAATTTTTGATGACTTCCAATTATTTTGGATATAGTAAATGAATATCAACTTGTGTGGTTGTTGTCCAGCCACACATGTTAACATTTTAAAAATATTTTGGAGAAAAATTTTTAATAAATTCTAATCATTCTATATGCAATAAATGAATATTTATTTGAGAAAATGGCTTAAGTATATATATTCAGTTCTTTGTCACTATAACATACTTCATTTACAAATAAGACAACACTCATATATTAATATTTGTACATAATTTAGGAAATACTTATGAAAGTTTATGTGAATTATGAAATTTGATATTCTTTTCAATAAATGCAAGATGATTTCAAACTGGAACAAAGTATTTGGAGAGGGAGTTAGTATAAAAAATAAGATTTTTTTTATAGACTATTCAAGAAATAAATATCAGTATTTTACATTGTAAAGTGTTGGTCTTACTGTTATAAACTTGATCTAGGCACTTCCTATTTACTTCACAGGAAATCTCTTTTTTGGATTGGCTTCACATATTAGTTATAAAAGTTTTCACTCCTTCAAATGTAACCTTCTAAATGAGAAATATTCATTAACAGGAAGGGAGTTCTGTGAATGGATGCTGAAAGAAGGTAGCTTCAAAATTAGATAAATTGAGCTGCCGTCTATGGGGTCACACAGAGTTGGACACGACTGACGTGACTTAGCAGCAGCAGCATGCAAATTCCAAGTAACTGATCAAAATTTTATTGGTTTTATGGATTGTTTATATAGTCTACAACTGGCTAAACAAAATGGGGGAAATCAATAATTTACTCAGTTGGCACTATTTCCTTCTGAAACAATTGACTGGAGAACCCCCACAGACAGATGAGCCCAGTGGGTTACAGTCCACAGGATTGCAAAGAGTCAGACACAAGTGAAGCGACTTAGCACACACACATGCCTTTTGAAACAAGGGAAACGTTCAATAATTCAGTAAGTGGCCCTGATAATCTGCCACTTTCTACACAGTCATTATGTTGATTAATTAAAAGTGGACAGAAGTTCCGCCAAAAGTGGTGGGTTGAGAATGATTTAAACTTGTTAAATGTTTTGAAGATACAATATTGGAAGATAAATAGATTCTAGACATCTGCTTACATCATTGTGCTGTTAACAGTGATGTATTGTGCACTTATATTTTTTCCCAGAAGGTAGATCTCATATTAAGTGTTTTTACCACAATAAATAAGTGAAAAACAGTTATTTAATGAGACTATTCAAGACTGAAAAATTGCAGCGATTCAGGCATTTTTTTCACATCTAGTAAATGTATAAATGGGTATAATTTTGTGAAAAATTATTTGGTAAATGCCTAGAAGTTTGGGGCTTCCCAAGCGACATAGTGGTAAAGAATCCACCTGCCAATTCAGGAGACACAAAAAACAAGGATTCCATCCCTGGGTTGGGAAGATCCCCTGGAGTAGGAAATGACAACCTACTGTAGTATTCTTGCCTGAAAAATTCCATGGACAGAGGAGCTGGCAGGCTACAGTCCTTGGGTTCTCGAAGAGTCAGAATGACCGAGCACACACACACATACATGCTTTCAACTCAGTAGTTAAACTACTAGGATGTTATCATGGTAGTGATGTGAAATGATATACGCCCAAGAGTAATTATTGAAGAATTATTTTGATAATAAAAAAACAAAGAATCTTATTTCCACAAAAAAAAATTGTTGAAATGAGCTTGTAGAAGACTTAATATAATAGGGAAACCCAGTATAATATTATTTAAATATTAGATATGTGTATTATATTTTTAAAATAAAAGAATAAATGTGAGCTAGGTTTTTAAAAAGCCAGGCAAATATTCATTTCTATTAAATGTTTTAAAAAGTTATCTGTCCCAAAAGCTCTCTGTGTTTCGGTAAAACCAGATCGTAGCACTTGGTGTTGGAAACAGCAAGGAGAGTGTGCTGAGATTCAGATAATGAAATGATAGGCGTGGATGGGACAAAAGTTAGGAGCAGGCAGTGTCAGACCCAGGGTGGATGGGAGTGTAACACCTGGTTAGTGAGAACACAGTTACCAACACAGAGACACAGTATCTGGATAGAACTTTTAGGCATTGTCATAGACAAGCAGGTACTGCGGTGTGTAGGGAGACAGGAGTTTAATCAGTGGTTTAAGGGTAAATAATGTGGGGCTTGTCCTCCAGACCCAAGACGTAACATAAACATATTACTTAAACCGAAGTGTGATGGGATGGGCGTCACACTGTTCCTTGATGATTTTCTTGAGCTCCTCATATCCTTCCACACGGACAGAGTGGGAGGGCAAGCATCTGGGGAGAGAAAACGAGAACTGAGGATGATTTTGTTCATCTCTCTTTTTTTCCCTTCTCTCCTTCCTTTTTTTATCCTTCTAACTCTGTAGTCTTTTTTCTCTCCTTCCATCTTTTTTCCTCTCTTCCCTTTTTCCTTCTACTTTTTAATATTATCTTCAAAATCGGTATGTTTTACACTTAGAGCACATCTTAATTTGAACCATCTACGTGTTACATGCTAAGAGAACTGTATACTCTATGTAGCATTTCTTTTCCTCCACTTGATAGCTCTTAGTCATGTTCCTGAAGAGGATTTAAAGCTATGCTTTGCTTTTGGGCTTTGCTTTGTTTTCTATTCTTGGTGATGCCATGCAGCATGTGGGATCTTAGTTGCCCGACCAGGGATCAAACCAGTGCCCCCTGCATCAGAAGCTCAGAGTCTAAACCGCTGGACCACCAGGTAAGTCCTATGCTTTGTTTTTTAAAAGCTCTTCCATAAGATCCCATTTTATGGATGTTACAAATTGAACATAAATGGTTCTCAGTGCAAAAGGAAAAATTAAGGAAACATGCTACATTATAAATGAGATGAAATATTTCCACTTTATAGATGAGGAAATTGAATTTCAGATAAGTTAAATAACCAGAAGGTAGTCACAGGACAACTTAACAGATCAGTACACAAATCCTTCATTTTTACTTGAGAATTCAGATTGGAAATCCAAACAGATTGACTGATTTCAATCCTAACTCGAAAAAGTTTGATATAATCATCATCTATATTTCTAGTGGTGATTTATGAGCCATTATGTTATTCTGGCAATTACTACTTTCTCATAAATGTTAACAATATGAATGTCAGCAATGTAATATCTCTCTATATAATATCTATTTATATCTATATCAATATAATATAATATCTCACAATGTTAACAATATATTTCATATGAAGTACCGTTATTTTCCTCGGAAATGCTTCAGATTTGGTTCTGATACATTTGGGTTAATTCATGTACTCAGCATTGAAAAATGGGAGTTGAAATAAATTATCTGCTAGAAATGCAAATTAAGTCCAAAATGTATGCTGAGAAATACACCCAATGCAGAATGATTAGCTAAGCCACGCGGTGACGAGGATCAAGCGAGCTGCAGTCGCTGAGGAAAGTGCTGGCATCAGCCCAGAGAGCTGGGCTGGAGTGAACTGCGTGTGCCAAGGTTCCCCGACATAAGACTTAGTCTGCTCTGCCTCTGTAGTGGGCGGAGCAGCAGTATCTGGGGACGCACAGGTCTCCTTTACTGGATCAAGCGCTTTGCTCTATTTGAACAGACAGGCTTCCTTTCACAACTCGCTATTATTAATAATAATCATTATTAATTATAACTAATAATTAATAGTTACTATTAGTACTATAATTGCTTTTTAAAAGCTGAATATCTGAACCTACTTTTTCATATAGAGATGAAAACTTTAGGAATTCGGGGAAGATTGTACTAGGGTTTTGTAATACCATTTTTATTCCTTTTCTGAGTACATGAATGTGCATGTGCTTATTTTACAAGCAATAGAAAAGGGAAAATGTAATATAATTAGGTGCCTATTATGCTGCCAGACACCAAGGTAAGATATTAACTGCTAACTACCTACCGTTTTTCTTCAATCAGGATTCTTTTATGTACCTCTATGAATGGCAAACCGCTAATAAGACTAATCAATCCCAAAAGTATATCAGGACAGACATTCCCCACCCACAAAACTCCAAATCCATGGAGTTGTGTTTTAGTAGGATCCTTTTGTTGACTGAGCCTACAGTTACTGACAAGCTCAAAGGAATAACTGAAAGCTTTAAATCTGCGGACTTGGGTAAGAAAAATCTTACAGATGAAGATGAAATCCTTTATGGTCATAAAACTCAAGAGCCTACCTGACTTAAACATTGCCTTAGCCTTTACAATTATTTGCAGTGTGCTTTTAATGTTAAAAGACAAAAAGAAAAGGTTTTATACAATAAAAGTGACATCAGTGAAGCACTTAAAGTTTTCAGTTTATAAATGTTTTAACATCAATCATAATATCACAACAATTGAGCCTCAGTAAAATGCCATATCGGAGAAGGCAATGGCAACCCACTCCAGTACTCTTGCCTGGAAAGTCCCATGGGCAGAGGAGCCTGGTAGGCTGCAGTCCATGGGGTCGTGAAGAGTCAGACATGACTGAGCAACTTTGCTTTCACTTTTCACTTTCCTGCATTGGAGAAGGAAATGGCAACCCACTCCAGTGTTCTTGCCTGGAGAATCCCAGGGACGGTGGAGCCTGGTGGGCTGCCGTCTATGGGGTCGCACAGAGTCGGACATGACTAAAGCAATTTAGCAGCAGCAGCAAATGCCATATGTTATATATGAAGACTTTAGAATGAAATGATTATGTTAACCTAAAGATAGTGCTATCTTCTCTTTTTAATAGACATCTATTATAATTACTGATTTGAATCTGGAGAAACTAAGGCATAAAGTACTCTTTCATTCAAAAGTCAATGATATATTTATCAACACCCTCACGATAATGCAGTTTTCATTTTAATCTTTTATCAGTTGAACAACTTGTAAAAAAAGGTTAAAGATGTGTTGCATTATGTGCTCAGTCGTGTTCAACTCTGCAACTGTGTAGACTGTAGCCTGCCAAGCTCCTCTGTCCATGGAATTTCCCAGGCAAGAATACTGTAGTGGTTTGCCATTTTCTACTTCAGGGGATCTTCCCAACCTAGGAATCGAACTCGCATCTCCTGTACTGGCAGGCAGGCTCTTTATTTAACTTGAGCTACCTGAGAAGCCCTTAAGATACATTCCTCTAAAATGGAAAATTATCATTTGATAATATTTAGAATTTCATGATACTTGATAATTCAGTTCACTCGTCTATGTATAGTAAGGTGATATTGAAAGTGGATGTGAAATTATATTTAATAGACAATAAACTAGAAGCAAACACTTCATGACTAATTCAGTTTTAAGACCTGATTGTGTAAAAAATGAAAAGGCAATTAGCTTTATAGATTTATTCCACAGTGAGAAATATTGAATGGCTGATTTTTCTCAAAGAGCAGTGTTGTAAAACTTAGTTTACAGAAATCATGGAACATTCCATTCTCAGTAAGAAATAAGTAAGATTTTTTTAAATGTTGTATAAGATTTAAAGATAAATGTATAAAGCAATAATAAGTCGGTTCAATTCAGTTCAGTTCAGTTCAGTCGCTCAGTCATGTCCAACTCTTTGTGACCCCGTGAACCGCAGCACGCCAGGCCTCCCTGTCCATCACCAACTCCCATTACCCAAACTCATGTCTATTGAGTCAGTGATGCCATCCAACCATCTCATCCTCTGTCGTCCCCTTCTCCTCCTGCCCCCAATCCCTCCCAGCCTCAGGGTCTTTTCAAATGAGTCAGCTCTTCGCATCAGGTGGCCAAAGTATTGGAGTTTCAGCTTCAACGTCAGTCCTTCCAATGAATATTCAGAATTGATTTCCTTTAGGATGAACTGGTTTGAGCTCCTTGCAGTCCAAGGGACTCTCAAGAGTCTTCTCCCAACACCACAGTTCAAAAGCATTAATTCTTCGGGGCTCAGCTTTCTTTATAGTCCAACCCTCACATCCATACTCTCACATCCATTTACACATAATTTGTAAAGACATACTTTATAACAATAACAACATAGAGGAGAGCAGGAAGACAGAATTGTGCAGGTGCATGGATGTTGTGTGCTATTGAAATTAAGTTGGTATCTATTTGAACTGGACTGTTACAACTTTAGGATGATAAACATAATTCCATGGAAAGCACAGATGAAATATTTTTAAAATATGCACAAAATGAAAAGGGAAGGGAAACAAAAGACTTACTAAAAATATCAACTAAACACAAAAGAAGGCATTAATATAGGAAATGAGAGTAAAAAAAAAAGAAAAGGAATAAACTATGACATACAGAAAACAAATAGCAACATTGCAAATGTATTCCTTGCTTATCAGGAATTGCTGTAACAGAAATGAATTAAACTCTCCAACCAAAAGGCAGGGATTGGTAAAATGAATTTTTAAAAAATTGATTCAAATATATGCTGTCTATGATGTCTATAAGAGGGTTTTTTTATATCCAAAGACACAAAAAATTAAAACTGCAAAGTTGGAATAACATATTATATGCAAATAGTAACCAAAAAAGAGATAGAATGACTATACCAATATCAAGCAAAACAGATTGTTAGGAAAAAGGTTACAAAGAAGAACATTATATGTTGATAAAAGTGTCAGTTCATCAAGAATATATAAGGATTAAAAACATATGCAACAGGAAGATTATGGGAAGATGGCAGAGTTGTAAGCACCAGAAAACTGTCTCCCCACCAAGATTTTGGAACAATTTTGGAACTCTGGAGTCTATTGAAGGATTGAAAATTTCCAAGGGAAGACCCCATCATTTACAATAGGTATAGATTCAACCTAGAATTACTCTCAGTCTCTGGGACTTAATATGGATGACGTGTGTTAGGAAATCATAAGTATACTTATTTGCGGGGCTTCCCAGGTGGTGAGTGGTAAGGAATCCGCCTGCCAAAGCGAGAGACATAAGAGACACAGGTTCGATCCCTGGGTCGAGATCTCCTGGAGTAGAAAGTGGCAACCCACTCTAGTATTCTTGCCTGGAAAATTCCATGGACAGAGAAGCCTGGTGGGCTACAGTCCATGGGGCTGGAAAAGCAGGAACCTATTTGGCAATTGTATCAATATTTTTGTTTTCCCACTAAACCTTGGCTTACCTCTACCCTTACCCTCTCATAATCAATGCTACTTACTTTTCTTTCCCTCATCACGATGCCAGACCTTATGGGCTATGGGAAATGTCTTTCCACTACTAAGGACCAAGTCACAAGTTAAAAGGACAATTAACTCTTTAAAGACTGCATGAATGCTTAATTGAATGAATGGATAAAGGAAAATACTTAAAAGGGAATACCACCTCTTCTTGTGAGATTTGGAGATAATACAAGTGTCCATGTTCTGAGAGGATTTCGAAGAATGGCAACTGAGAATATTGTATTCATTTACACTGATGAATAATTTGTCGTCTTACAGACTTCATGCTGGTATCCAAAACAGTTAAAAGGAGAGTCTCTTCCTTTTTTTTTTTTTGAAGTTTGCTAATGTGATTGCTGGCTTCCCAGTTGGCTCAGAGGTAAAGAATCCACCTGTCAACGCAAGAAGATGCAGGAGATGCAGGTTTGATCCCTGGGTTGGGAAGATCTTCTGGAGAGGAAAATGGCAACCCACTCCAGTATTCTTGCCTGGGGAATCACATGGAGAGTGGAGCCTGGCAGGCTGTAGTCTGTGAGGTCACCAAAGTGTTGGACACCACTTAGCAG